AATGTATTAATCACAAAATAGTAGAACCTACGAGCAAGGGGTAGAGAGAACCACTCCCCAACAAAGAACTATTACATAAACGCCTTCCAATTGTGAAGGATAGAACAAAGGGAGTGATTACAAAAGAATTTGTTGTAACTATAGCACCACCTAGAAGTAGTAAGCTGAATATTACTCCACAAAACTCGAAAATCTGAAGAAGAGTCCTAAAAAAGTCTATGGTTTCTTTCCAGCCATAGATTCCACAAAACTGCTACCACCGCTAAGGCCCATAGAGTACCTTTAGCATTTTTGAACCTCCCACCAGATAGGGCTTGAAGGAGCCAATCATCAATCCGTTTTGCAATGAAAATTGCAAGCCCAATCTAACTCTTCAAACGATAGATATAAGGGCTAGTTTGAACCATATATTTTTTGTTAGGTCCAACCTCCATATTTTTAACGTGATACTATTTTCTCATTAAAATAATGAAAAGGAAATACAAATGTTCAAGGGATACAAACTCCCAAAGGGAGTGCAAGAAATCAACGAAAAGATAATAAAAACAACCAAACAATGAGTAAAGCGTCAGAAGAAACAAGTGAATAAAATTTTGAAGAGCAAAACCCTAAGGACTTGACTAGATGATGGAAAAGGAACCTGAGCCAATCCTTTCCAGCACCGGGTGCAACAAAAACCATCAAATCACACAACTTCTATTTAAAGAGGCCCTTGCCCATTGTTTCCTATTTGGCATCCTGACTCACAAGCAAGAAAATTGAAAGGGTAAATATTGTCTGGATAAAACTTTGACAAAAATAATGAATAACATCTAATGTGTATGTATGAGAGTTCCAGAATTGTAGGTTTTGCATACTTTAAGCTTGATTTTATTCAAGTTTGGATAGAACAAATCATCATGTCATAGTTTATCTTATCAACCTTATTGAGCAATAAAAGTGAGCTACAAGTTATTGGGGGAAAATAACATACTATTGGTTCGATCATTTTTGGATATGGGGACAAACAAAAAATTTATTCGCTTAATGAGCTTTGTTTATTATAGTGTTTTAGCATTCCTGTGTCTCATTCAAATGGACAAAACTATTTTAGTTTAAAGAATGTTGTAAAGAGATATGCTCCATTCTTGTAACACTCTTCTCCTTTCCATGTTCCAAGTAAAATCAAATGACCTGTAACCATGGTATCATGTAACAGGAAGATGGTATTGGTTTAATGACAGTAATTAAAAGCACTTTCAAGTATCGTCGATCAAGAAAGCATGATGCTGTTTCGGATTATCTTCCGCCCAGTTTAACAGAGTTCAACTTTTTTTTTACTCAAGTGACTGGGTAATTTTTACAGCAACTAGTGTTTTGATCAAATTCTCTTGTGATATAATATGTATTTGTTGGAATTGACAAAATGTTAAGTTACATTTATGTATCTATTATTTACATCTTTTATTGACTTTTTTGTTCATTTATGTAATGTGAAACCAAGTTTTCAATAAAAAAATGAAAAGCATGCACATCGACAATACATAAAAGAATCACCACCACAACAGCTGTACAAAGAAATAAAAATTAAAAAGAAGGGGCTCCAAATGTTGAGTATAAGAGACTTGCAAAACTTTTTTGTTTAGTATGCCATCCAATGATTCCTGCTTCCAGACGCATGACCTATATTTGGAGGGGGCATATTATTTATTATGCAAACTGATGAAACTAATTGAAGTTTATTGAGTTTCTTAATTTGCTTAGGGAAATCTGGAGGTGCTGAATATAAGCATATAAAATAGTTGATAAACAAGATCTTCTTGTTTTATATAACCTTTTAGATTGACTCTAATACACATAAAGCACGCTGGTTATAGAACATAATTGGCTAGGCTACTGTGATAGTTTCCATAAATATTTGGGCTTTTGTTACGTCTATGCATAAACCAACCTATTTAACTTTCTCCTCAGATTTATTTCTGTAGGCTGAAGTTAGAAAAATACTAAATGATATCATGTTTGTGGCAGATTCTTTGATTTTCTCACTGGTTCTACAATGTTCTCAACTTTGGGAGATGGAACCGTAGTGAAAGGTCTTTCTGGAGTTCCTGACGAAGGTCCTGTGCTGTTAGTCGGTTAGCACAATTTATTAGGACTTGAGCTTTTACCTTTATTTAAAGAATTCATGAGAGAGAAAAATATTGTGGTTCGTGGAATAGCACATACAGAGTTGTTCTTGGGAAAACTCGAGTCTGAATATCCTGAAATTTCATTGTTTGACTGGGTGAAAGTATTTGGCGCAGTCCCTGTCACTGGTAGCAATCTTTACAAACTGTTATCAGAAAACTCACATGTTCTCCTCTATCCTGGGGGTGCACGTGAGGCTTTTCACCGTAAGGTACTTTAAATTCCTAACATCCACGACCATAAAAAGTTTGCAGTTTAGTGTCCCGAGAACTGATGCAGCGAGAGAGTGCTTACACTTAAAGTTTTTCACGTTCTTAAGTTTTTGCATGGTCCATATGTTGAGTTTTCCATCATGCTTTATCACTTTATCTCTAAGAGAGAATTACATGGTACAGAGAGGTCATGGTGGCATCTTCGTTGAGTTTAAATGACATAATTTGTAACTTTGTTATATAATGGTTGGGATTAAGGTTTCCTATGTTTATTTATTTTCCTTTCCTTAAAAAACTTGACAGGGTGAAGAATATAAGTTGTTCTGGCCAGATCAACAAGAATTTGTGAGGATGGCTGCTCGTTTCGGGGCTACAATTTTACCGTTTGGTGCTGTCGGAGAAGATGATCTAGCACAAGTAAGTTGGGTTCCGTATGCTTTGATTTTATAGTTCTTGGTTGCCATTTGGATTCTCTAGCCTGAGGAGTTCTAAATGGATCCTGATCTTAGAGGTTAGAAGTAAGAAAATAACAACGAAATCCTTCCTATTTCCCCGCTAATATTCCTAACAAGTTTTTCCTAAATTTGTGAGTTGAGGAGTTAGGAAAGCTGGATTTAACAAACCCAATAACTTGAGTTTGTATAACTGTTAATGGAACACATTGGGTTATTCAAGCCCAACCCCCTCACCTCTAAACAAGGAGCCAAATGGGTCCTTATTCAGAGACGTGCGTATTTTTCGTATCTGATTCTTATGGTGGCAGGGCAATACAGTGGTATTGGAGTTGTCTTGAAAAAATGAAGGAAGAATTTGAAGTTTCTTGAGCAAATTCAATATTCTGGTTGAGTTGAGCAAATGGATGTGCTGAAAGCTTGAAACTTGTTTCATTAGACAAAAAATGGTGCAAATTTGTCTATATTATCGTGCTTGAAAAGAAATATTAGCACTGTCACTCCCTTTCTGGTTATCATCATCGTTGTCGTCTTTTTTCATATTTGCAGATGATTTTAGATTATAATGACCTGATTAAAATTCCCATGCTTAATGATCACATCAGAGAGACAACTCAGAATGTTGCAAAAGTGAGGTAACTGTTCTTTGACATCATCGTGTATGATTTACTTGTGTTATTTTTGCACTGTTATGCTTGTCCATCTCCTTTTACATTTCATTCTACGAATGAAATTTCCATTTTCTATAAAAAGAATATATTTTTCGACTTTGCTTTACAGCTTATTCTCTCATTCTTTTCTGAAAAAATGGAATTGGGAAAGCAAATCGAGGTTAGTTTTTCCTTCAGGATGTTTTCCATCAATAGAGTGTACTCTGATTTCAGGGGTGTGGATAAAGGAGAGGTTGCTAATCAAGATATTTTCTTCCCATTGCTCTTGCCCAAGATACCTGGTCGGTTTTACTACCTGTTTGGCAAGCCAATAGTAACGAAGGGGAGAGAGGAAATCCTGAAGGACAAGAAAAAGGCAACCCAATTGTATAATGAGGTTAAGTCTGAAGTCGAACATAGTTTAGAATACTTGATTAAGAAACGGAAGGAGGATCCGTATCGAAGTTTTGTTGACAGGATGGTGTATAAAGCTATTTATGCCTCTCAACAAGAAGTTCCCACATTTGAGCCTTGAGAATTAATTCTTTTAAGGTGATGCTTGGTCTTGGTAACACGTTACTCCCTTCTTTTCTATGAAGTGAGCACTACTTTTCACTAAAATCGATTTTTTAGAGGTGTTTACATCTATGTTCTTATTTGGATGTTGCAGTTGGGTACAACTGGTTCTGTTCAAGATTGAACCTTTGGAGGTAATACTTCTAAACAATTCCATCCTCGATATGCCAAGTTGTGATCTGGAAGGAAGACTTTAACCGGTACGAATTTTGTATGATCTCCCATCCCAGCTTGAAGAAGATGCCTGTACTATAAACAACTAGAAATACAAAGAAAATTCAAAATCTGAATAAACCACAGAAGAAAAAGTTACCTAGTAAATTTTTTACCTTATTTGTTTTTTTGATCAGAAACATGGATGAGATTGAATTGATAAAAGATAAAGTAACAGTCTAAAGGGGCATGAGAAGGCCCCTGCCTAACAAAAACTAAAGAAGGATCGCTTTCCAGTTTCGGATAAGCATCTTAAGATTGTAGTTACAAGAGAAAACCTTCTGGTTTAAGCACCAAGGGAAGCAGTACTTTGTACACTATTACAAAAAGAATAAAAAAAACGAGGGGAGTTGTTAAAAACCCGGCTATTCCTTTCTTTCCACAAGCTCCACAAAATAGCTCAACTGTACACCCCCAAAAAAACTTTGTAAAGCAGCAGGTGCTAAAGATTTTCGATCCTCATCTTTAGCTGCAAGGCGTAGCTTTTACAAAAAATACTGCAGTAAAAAGAAGCTTGGCTTGGGTTTTAATGGCATGGAGGTATTGTTTTGACTGTGCAGGAGAAATCAGGGGTTTTTGGGTTGAATAGTCCTTTTAATCAACTTTTTCAAAACTCATGTTTTCTAATCTTGTGTCGACGCCACTTTCACCCGTACGGAAATTTTGGAAATTTTGGTGAGAGGGACTAAATTTTAGGGTTATGATGTCAGAAAGCTGAGTAGATTTGAATGGTGGCTTACCTACTTTAGTCTTAGAAAACCAAGTTGTGAAGGTTATATTTTTGTTTTATTTATTTATTCATAAATAAAAAGGAGGTCTCTCTTTGTTCTCTATTCATAAATTTTAGGTCTCTCTTTGTTCAAAGGATAAATAAATATGTTTATTACAGCTTATAAGTTCCTCTTCAACTTTCAGAATTTTGTTTATTTAATTTTCTATTTAAAAACTTCTTCTAATAACAAACTAATTTTTTAAAATGATGTGAATTTAGTCCTTATATTTAAAAATAAAAAAAATCAAATAGGTTTGTGTACTGAGGTCCTGTTTACTTACCTGCAATCATAATGGGAATGAATTGAAACGAAAATGAATCGGGATGAGAATATTATTGTTTACCAGAAATTTTCTTGAATCGTAATCAAAATTCCTTTGATGTTGTTTATTAAAGTTATCTGGAATCGTGATCGGAATCAGATATATAACAATTACTAGTATATCCTTTTCTCGTTTTTAGCTAATTACAAATACATTACTTTCCTAATCTTTTTTAATATAATAATAATAAACTTTAATTTAAGTTATTACTATATTATTGATAGTAAATATTTTTTATTATAACAATTTATTTAATATTAATAAATAAATAAAATTACATAAAAAAACAATGATTAATTAAAATAAAATTACATCAAATAAAATATTTTTTTATTTGAACAACCATAATTTAATATAACATATTATTAAATTTTATTATTCTAATATTTAAATATAATAATTTATATTTTAAAAATATGTTGATATTAATTAATATAAATTTATAATATTATATAATAAAATTACATAAACTAATAAAAATTGAAGTATAAATGGAAAAGAAATTACAAAAGTATAAAAAAAATTAATTAAAAATTGTATGGGTGTAATTAATAGATGAGAGAGAAACGATAAAAGTAGTAAATTAATTATAATATATATGTGGGTCTATGGAATAAAGATGAAATTGATGGGATTGTAGGAGTAAAATGAGATTATACCATTTGAAATGTGATTACAAAGTTTATTCGTTGGAGTTCCTTGGCGCGACCTGCGCCGGGGTTTTGTTTGGGTCCGTGCGTGTCGGAGGGCGGCATGGGGGCAAGAGCCCACCAAACCGAGGCCCCCCCGACACGAGTACGGACGTTTCGTGAAACGCGTTCGCGGGTCGTTTGATGTTTTAGGCATCGACAATGATCCTTCCACATGTTCACCTACGGAAACCTTGTTACGACTTCTAAGGACCTAAATAAATTTAATTGCTAGATTTATAATTTAATTTCACTGACCTAGATCTATAATTTAACTTATTTTAATTTTCATAATGATGTAGTAAAAGTTTTACTATTGTTAACAGATAAATAATCTTTTTTTGGTCTGGAACAACCACTAGAATAATAAATTGATTTCAAATAATTAATTTTATCATTAACAGCCTCTTTTATTTTTTACATATAATAGATTTCTACTTTGTTTGACAATATCGACTAATTCAAAAGTTATATCTTTACATGTACATTTTAAGAATATCCTTAATAATTGATCTATGATAAATACTTTTCAATACGCAATAAAATATCTAGTAAAATTCAAAAACTAAAAACTATGAAGTGATCATGTAAGAAAAAAAAAAAAAAAACTATCAAGTTATTTTTGCTATTTGGTGCAAGTGGTTAAAAAAAACGCAACGCTATATATAAAAACGATAAAAAAATATAATTCCATAATTTGTCCTAATACAATTATTGATTTTCATGATCTAAATTTTGTAACATTGCTTAAAAATTTAATACTTCTTTTTTCTTTTTGTAATAATGGCAACAAAAATCTACATCTTCTCATTGCCTGAACTTTTGAGGCAGTTGCAAAAAGAAGTGGTTGGGACTTTTTTTTTTCCTTTTCTTTCTCTTTTGCAAAAGTATAGTAGTTTTTTGAAGTTGGTAATTTGCTTTTAGCTTAAGCTTTTTGGGAAACGGCAAACAGATCTGGACAATCTGGCTTCTAGATTTTTAATCATGTTTTATTCAAAAGCAAATAGACGTAATATGTTATTGTGTTTTTACTTATATAAAATTAATTATATACTAACTTTGCTAAAGGTGAGATATAAAATTAAAAAGAAATCAGCATGCAATAATTGAGATTAGGTATTCAATAGTTTAATCAAGCGAGGCTAAATGCCTGTCATGCAAATCATATTCTAACCAGGTGAAATTAAAAGCCACACGATCGTAATTGATTGTCATTTCATCTACAACCACATTATAGTGTATGTGATCAACTCGATCAATGGTATAAAAGCTCAGATATTCAAGTTACCATTGTTGAACTAAGAAAACAATTTTTTATTTTTTTTTTCACTTTTACTCTTTGTAAGCAATTCACAGAGTCAGTTTCAAGATCAGTACATAAATGTTGAAAAACTCATTAGTTTCTCTCTGTCAAAATCTTCGTTGTCAAGAAAAAGGGAAATCCTCGATCGATTGAAACGTTTGTGAAGCAGGAGCAAAACAAGAGCTAATGGGGGACCCGCGCGAGGTGAAAAAACCTCCATTATTTGCCTTCAAACTCACTTCCCTTTCCCCCCCTCGTAATTTCTACTTTATTGGTACTTTTTCTGTTTGCTTTTTGAACAAATTCAATGTTTTATATACAAAACTGATTCATGCCGTCACGTGTATGGTCCTCATTACTCAATTATGAATGCGCTTAAACATTGTAGGCAGTGGTCCTTTTACTTACCTTGCTTGTTTCGTTTTCTTGTCTAATTTGGAACAGTTATGAGCTACGTGTTCCAAAGGGATTTTGAACTTTCGGATTAGCTATCTGGGTTTGTTTCGAGTTACCCCTTTTTGCTGCCAAAGCCCTCGTATCTCACTCTGTTTTCAGCCCAACACAGAACGTGTTGGTTTGGTTGTTTTAATTCGAGAGTTCAAGGGGGTTCTCTCTCTCCCTCTGAAATCCGAATGATTGCTTTATTTAAGCTATTCTGGGAAGTGGGAAGTGGGAAGTGCTGAATCTTGCAGTTGCTCTGTTTTTGGCTTTATCTCATTACTTGCAGAAGCCATGGCAGCTTGTTTTGGCGTTGGGGTGTCGTCGTTTCTTGCTTCATTTCAACGCAGTAAGAATTCGTGGCGAGTGCTAGTTAGAAGTGAAGATGGAGCCGACTCAGTTTCAGCTGTGGTAAGTGGAGCTTCTCTGGTTGGGGAGAAGGAGGGGAGTTGGTCTTCATTGGAAAAGGGCAATGGGTGGTTGAAGTCTGAAGCTTCGGAGAAGAAGAAGGTCAAGAAGAGAGATAATGCTGCTGTAAAGTTGGAGCCATCTTGGGATGATGGGTATGGGACTGTGACTGTGAAAGATTACTTTGATGCCGCTAAGGATTTTACTCAGCACTCTGATGGCGGTCCGCCTCGCTGGTTTTGTCCTCTTGAATCTGGATCTCCATTAAAGGGTTCTCCAGTTCTTCTGTTTTTGCCTGGTAACTATTTTACGCCAGCTGAAAAGTTCAGAACTTTGGAAATTGAGGTGTTTTCTGGTTTTGTGATTGAAAAACAAATTAAAAATTTTAAAGGATGGAACGGCTGAATATGGGAAATTGGGAGTTGGGAAATGGTATGTCGTCATTTCTAGCTATGGATAAAATATTAAGGTTGCTTTTCTGGGTTTTTAATTGTAATTGAATAAGTACAAAAAAGAAATTGTTTCTTAACGGTACTTTAGAGAATAAAACCTCTTAATACATTGTTTGAAAGAATTATAGTAACTAGTTATTTTTTCTACAGAAAATGCATCCATACAGTTCTTTGAGCTCCCTTTCTTCTGTTCAAAGAAAAAAAAAATTCAATGAACATGTTTCTATATTTTGGGTAAATACTCAATACATGCTTAATCTTTGAAAGTGGGATATGCTTTTATCTAATTTGGATTTTATATTGTCTCTGTACTCTGTAGGAATGGATGGCACTGGATGTGGCCTCATCATGCACCATAAAGCTCTTGGGAAGTAAGCTATTCACTTCTCATACTGTTGAATTGATATTCCGTGAAATTTGTTAATGGCTCTTGTGTGGAATGGCCAAAGAACCAAAAACGGAAAAATGTGCAAATTAAATTTTGTTGGTAACTGAAAAATGTATCTTTTAAATCAGTATACTAGTTTTTTATTCCGTCTCATATGGACATTTGAGTTTCAAGCTGAACGTGACAAGCATATCCCTTGACATGGTTGGTCCTGATAAATTTGGGGAATGTTCCACCAGTTTATTCCGGGGTATAGTTATTTCCCCAAGAGATTGGCAGGGCCTCGAAGAAAGTTAAGTTTCGTATGAAACAAAAAGGGACACTACAATTGTCAAATTCTCAGAATAAGAAATATTTCATCAAAGAACCAAGGGGGGCAATTGGACAATCTCCTAAATACTGCAAATTGGTTTTGATCAGAGAAGAAGAGAAATTACGAGAACCAAATGACTCCCTTTAAAATACTTCCAAAATGAGATCATACAAGTGAACGCATCCTGAGTACTTGAAAATATACAGGGGTAAGAGTCTAGGAAAAACAATTCATTCAAAGCTTGAGTGTTTCCATCCAACCAAGCATGTTTACAGAGTCTAATTCTGTATTCATCCTCTCCATCTTGAGAAAACAATCTAATATCACACGAACTTCATGGCTGGCAATGGAGCTTCACAAGGACATAATAGTTGCTACTTGGAAACCAGCTGAATTGATTTGAGCCATACTTGCTTGTGATCACTTAGTGGCTAGTGCCATGAGAAATCGTTACATGGGTTTGAATTTAGCTTAATCCTGGTTTGATTGTTTTGTATTACCTTGGGTTAATAACTACAGATTGTGAGCAAAAAGTATTTGACCTTGTTCCTGGCAGGTCAGATACCAATGCACTAAGAACGCTTAGACACATTAGATACTTGAACTTGACCGTGCTGATATGAAATAGCTGGTCATGACTTTTTGTGTATAAGCTTTCTTATGTATGTGCCAGCGTGCATGAGCTTCACTTTTAATTCTTTAAGTTTGCTGTTGTTCAAAGTAGGATTGATGTTCTATCATTTTATATGTGATTTACGTATTAGGATAATAAATATGTTTGAAGTGGAAACACTTATTTTAGTTGCAAGTAAATGGAGTATTCATTAAAGTATCAATTTTTTTATGCAGGGCTTTTGAAGTTCGGTGCCTACATATTCCTGTTCAAGATCGAACACCATTCGAAGGTTTAAACTTTTTCTCAATGGCTGGAATATATACCAAGATACAATTTTATGAGAACTTCTGATAGTCAATCTTTCCCCTGATAAATTGAAACAACTGTGATGGTAGAGCTGTTTAACCAATATATTCATTTGTGATCCTGTGTTTCAAGTTTGAGGGGAAAACTTGGCGATTACCCTCAATATGATGGACAATTGATGCGTGAAAACAATAGTCATCCATTCCGTGAGAAATTGAGCGGGAAATTTCTGCTTAGTTATGTAATATGACTATTAGCTGGCAAATAATGATATCAAGTAAATTCTTTGATATTGGAGTATTGACTACAACATTGACGTAACTAACTGAATATAGCTATATTGGAACTATTGATCTAACTTCCTGTAGTTGTTAGGGAATTCATATAGATTTGTGGCTGCACATAAAAATTTAACTAGGTAAGATCTACATTGCTGCTATTGTTCATTAATTGCAAGACGTTTCTGTATACTGCTGATGGAGCAGAGTTTTGTTTTCTGAAGGACTTGTGAAGCTCGTTGAAGAAAATATCAGGTCAGAGCATGCTTCTTCCCCAAAAAAGCCGATTTATTTAGTGGGGGACTCATTTGGAGGATGCTTAGCCCTTGCTGTTGCTTCTTGTAATCCTAAAATTGACCTTGTTCTGATTTTAGTGAATCCAGGTTGGTTTCAAATATGCAATTTAACTTCTTGCAATCACATGGCATTGTTAGGTCGTGTTCTTTTTCAGTAATTGTGACAGCTTTTTTCCTTCCATTAGCTACATCTTTTGGTAGGTCTCAATTGCAACCCTTGCTTCCATTGTTAGAAGCTATGCCTGATGTACTGCATGGAACAGTTCCCTATCTACTTAGCTTTGTTATGGGTAAGTGGACTGCTGCTTCTAAGTAATTGTTGGTTTCTCTTTGTTTAGGGATATAAGACATATAGTTGCAAATCTAGCTGCAGTTTCTATGTTTTCCTTCCATTCCGCTACTCATATTCTTATTGAAGATCGGATTCAAGTTAGCTCATCTAGGATGATGGTGAAATATTTCCTCTAAGAATTGGTAAGAAGTGGAAGGTCGGTTACTGTATTGGCAAGTTCTGTTGAAAGAATGTGGAATAATTGAAATTGGAGATTGACCTCCTTCTAACCAAGTATTGAGATCAATAGTAATGGATGACAGTACTAGAATGGTGGAGGAAGGCACTGTCTCTTCCCAAGAAACTCTTCATTGCCTTTTCTTCTTACTACCTTCCACATAAGGAATGACAAAAGGATAAAATTTTAAGGATCTATGGTTGCGGCTACTCTGTTTGCTTCCTAGTTTCCTTCATTCCTTGTCTTTATCTTTCACCATCAACCAAAACGTGCCAATGAAGTGTGATGAAAATGTTGAAACTAATGTCGTAATTTACTCCGTTAATTTTCATGTCAGCATGGTTCTTTAGGTTGAGGGTGGGGATGGACTGATGGAGGGTGATGAATGCCCTCCTTTTTGAGTAACTTCTTCTTATGGATGTAAAAAAGAATTACTTGGGAACGTTAATAATTAATAATTTCATCTTCCTCAAGTTTTACTTTCAGATATAACCAACAAAACATCTGTCATTTATATAAGTAACATTTTTCATCCGAAAATATTTCAGACCTCTTTCCCATGCTATTATTATTATTATTTTAATGAGATTTACACTTTGAGTAGTTTGGTGCAGTGTTAGAATCCTGGATTTTCTTTTGGATATAAATTTATTATTATTTCTTAAACAATTCATGGAGTTGTAGCTACGAATAAAATGTAAAACCATGTTTATTACTACTGCTATGTCAGGCGAACCAGTGAAAATGGCAACAGTCGATGTTGAAAGTAGGCTTCCTCCAATGCAGCAATTAGAAAAAGTATCACTCAACCTGGCTGCTTTACTACCATATCTTTCGGTAAGGACCATGTGATGCTTGTTTTTCTTTCATAGAATCTAGTTACGGTGTAAACTGTGCATTTTAAATAATACTTTATAAGATGTAATGTAGCTGGGACTGCCTTTTTTCCTTTTTTATTTCCCCTTACTGTCATGGATTTAAGTTTTCCATCTCATTGTTCTTTTCACTCTCCATAACTTCCTTCCTAGTATGCTGTTGCTAACTGACGTTGTTTTTTCTATACCTATTCATTGCTCCCTATCTTTTCAAAGTAGATCATATTTTAGAAATAGAAAAGCTCTTGACCATCATGACAGGCATTTTCATTAAAGAAATGAAATGAAAGAGATATACAAAAGGGGAAAACATCTCAAACCAAAGGAGTTACAAAAAAGCTCTCCAATTGGTTAAAGGAGAGAGAAAACTATGGTGTTGAAAAATAGGAGAACATTTGCACCGCAACCATCATAGGATGACCCAGTGGTCAATAAGGGCCAATGTAAATAGTAAGGGATTTAGAGGGAATGGGTTCAAACCATAGTGGCCACCTACCTAGGATTTAATATCCTACAAGTTATTTTATCAACCAAATATAGTAGGGTCAGGCAGTTGACCCGTGATTAGTCGAGGTGCGTGCAAGTCGGCCGTGACACACATATATCAAAAAAAAAAGGAGAACGTTTGCACCACAATACAACCAATGACACTATAGATTCAAAAAGGCTGTTGGTAGACGAGGAAGCGTATGTTTGTCGGGATCGTATGCCATCCAAAGGACGATAAGAGAGAATCCCATAACTTGGAAGAGAAATTGCAAGAAATGAAGATGTGCCCCAAGGGGACTTGCCATGTTGTTTACAGAGAACACACCAACGTGGAGAAAGGCTCATATGCGGCGTCCTCTTTTGAAGCTTGTCATGGGAATTTAGGGCTAGCTAACCTCCCATAGGAAGAATTTAATCTTCTTTGGGTAGTGATTATTTCCAAATCGACTTATACAGAAGAGTGTCTTCAGGATAGGCAGACACCGTCTGAGATAAAAACTAAGATTTTGGAGATAGGTTATATGTTTAAATTTTTGTAATATCGTTTTCTCCCCCAATTAATATCAAGTCACTTATTGGGCCTTGTGCCAATTTTCAAGCTGTGAGTAATATGAATAAAAGATTAAGTATACTGAATAATGGGTACTGTGATGTGAAGTCAAAATATATTTTATTAACTGAGTCTATTGCATAATAGGTACTATGATGTGAAGTCAAAATATATTTTATTAACTGAGTCTATTTTAATTTGATGTAATGGATATGTCCACCTAGAAAAAAAAAACCTACAAACTTCGTATAATCTTACTCGTATAACTTACCTGACCCAAGACATTAAAAATGTTACTAACTGAAAACCTCATGAAAAATATTTATTTTGAACTCACACATCATTTTTCTTTTAATATTTAGTAATACTAAGGACCTGATTGGAGAGGGAAAAAATCAATACATAATATATGGAACTAAAATTGTTAAAAAATTGAGCGACAACCTTTTGGGACTAAATTATATATTTAGCCCTATCCATATTCCTAAAGTGCAAGTTGGTTTATTATAACTTCAAGCCATGCCTTGTAACTGGGATTTTCTATCAACTACTTTACACATTGCAATGAGATAAGGCAATGCAGGGTTTACTTGTGGCAATCTAAGGTTCCATTTAATAACAATTTCTGTTTTTGGTTTTTGATTTTTCTGTTTTCTATTTTTAAAAAACAAAATCCACTTGGTATCCATTTTTAGTTTTCTATTTTTAAAAAGTTAGAAAATTGGAAATATATATTAGAGAGATAAAATTCTATGTAGGGTAAGATGAAAATGGTGTAGGACGGGAGTGAGGATGTCCTCTCCCATTCTCATACTCATGAAAATTTTTAGTCCTCTGTCTCCACCTCGTTCTTCGGTCCAAGAATTGAGATCTAGGTTAAAGAATCCTTATTCAGGGATATTCACAAGAAAACTTACCTGTTTTATAATTAATTTTAATTATTTTTAGAATTTAAAAAATGAAAAAGTGTAATAAATATATATTAATTATTTTTAGAATTATTATTTACTAGTATAAATAATTAGTTTTAAAAAATATTTAATATTTTATTCATAATTTAGTAAATATGTCAATAAAAGATATAATAATTATTTGAAAATGGAATCGGGGACTCGGGACATGCATTTTCTATTCTTGGAGAAGAGATCTGACCATGCGGAAATTTTTGTCATCCTTAAAGTAGAGACATGAAACTACCAGTTTAGAGAGATGAAAATAAAAGAAATTTTAGAGAGACAAATAAAAAGATTTAGAAAAAAAAAATTAGGGAAAGAAAAGTTAAAAGACAAAAATGAAAACAATTTTTATAAAAAGAGTAAAGTTGAGAGGAAAAGATAGGTTAAAAAAATTAGAACGAAAAAGAAAAATTATATAGATTAGGAAGAGATAAAATTTATAAAAAACAAATTTTAGAGAGAGAAAAATTCGGAAAAATATTAAATTTTTAGAGAGAGTAATGGAAGTAATATGATACAACAAAAAGAAAAAAAAAGATGAAAAATTTGGAGAGAGAGAGAAATAATGATAAATATTTAAAATATAAAAATTTTAGAGGAAAAAAAATAAATTTTAGAGATATTTATGAAGAAAAAAATTTTAGAGTGAGAAAGAAATTTGTTATAGATAAATATGTTAAAGAAAAAAAAGTTTTGTATTAGAAGAAAAAAATAAGATTTTGAAAAACAGAAATCTGTTTTTAAAAACTATTTTTTTTTCTGTTTTTTTGGAATTTACATGAAATTTCAAAATGGTTTTTGAAAAACAAAACACCCCTGTTTTTCAAAAACTAAAAACCAAAAATAAAAAACGGGCCATAAATTGACTTATTTTGCCTTTTGCCCTTGGCACTGGTATTTTCTTACATGAGAAATCTGATTGAGCTGAATTCTTTTTTAATTATTTCTATTTTCAGGAGTTGTCTACCATTATACCGAAGGATACCCTTCTTTGGAAGCTGAAGCTGCTCAAATCAGCTGCAGCTTATGCTAATTCTCGTCTCCATGCAGTTAAAGCTGAAGTACTTGTGCTTGCTAGGTTTTTCCCCAGAACTGATTGTGTGTGTATGGGTGTGAGTGGTGTGTTAAATATAACACTACAAATATCTCAACATATTGCATCTATTTTTTAAACTTTTTAGTATCCTTCCCACGATATCCATTAGATTAACTAATTGAACATTATCCAATGTAACATGATATACTGTTAGACAATGGATTAAATGATCGTTTGTATTATAGAAAGGGAAAATTAATCATTAAATAATGAGTTTGGGAAGTTTTCATGGTAGATTCTCAAAAAGCTATTACTTATGTATTTGTCTTTAATCTTGTAATACAGTTTCAGCCCCAGTTTTTTTACTTTTCAATCTCAAGTCGGGTTTCTATCAACGGTTTTTCCTGAACTACTTCCTGCCAAAATGACTCTGTTTGAGTTCTGCTTTATTTTGAATTGGAATCAACTGTCAAATCATTTTACTCAATAATCTGAATTTGATTATTTCAAAGTTGGTCCAGTGTTCTCATAATTAATTTGAATTTTTTGTGCCTTTCAGTGGCAAGGATAACATGGTTCCAAGCAGAGTTGAAGCTGAACGACTTAAGCAATCATTACAGAATTGTACCTCTCGCCATTTCAAGGAAAATGGGCACACCTTATTATTGGTACGCAAAAGATATAACCTGAGAACACTATCATTCTGGTAGATAACATTAAACTAGCTTCATCAATTACACTCTTCTCTTCAGCCATTAAATATATAGGAGCATTCTTGTTAAGGTTTAAAAGAAAATTTCTCATTCGCGCTAGCCATTTATAAAAAAGTGTAGTATATTCTCCAATTCTTAAGAATCAACATTCATGATTATTAATCATATTTGTGAAAAGGACAAGAAACTCCTATAAAAGAAAGTTAAAAGAAAGAAAAACTCTAACAAAGAAATCTAAACTCATAGAATTTAAAAAGGAATGCATTTGGAAAAGGGCACTTTTCTCTAAAGAGGGAGGTTTGACTCTCATCCATTCAGTCCTGTGGGAATGTGACCTACTTCCTTGTTTTAAATCTCAATCTTGGTGAGTAAAAATCTAAAGAGAATCATGAGAGATTTCTTATGGGAAGGAGTTGGTGAGGGGGGAGGTTTCCAAGGTGGGACGTTGTATCATGGCCTTTGAAGTTGAATAACATAATATTGGTTCAATCATATTTGGATACGGAGGCAAATAAAAGGTTTCTTTGCTTAATGATCTTTGTTTATTCTAGTGTTTTAGTATTCCTGTGTCTCATTCAAATGAACAAAAATATTTTACTTTAAAAAATGTTGTAAAGAGATCTGCTCCATTCTTATAACACTCTCCTCCTTTCCATGTTCCAAGTAAAGTCAAATGACCTGTAACCGTGGTATCGTGTAACAGGAAGATGGTATTGGTTTAATGACAGTAATTAAAAGCACTTACAAGTATCGTCGATCAAGAAAGCATGATGCTGTTTCGGATTATCTTCCGCCCAGTTTAACAGAGTTCAACTTTGCTTTTAGTCAAGTGACTGGGTAATTTTTACAGAAACTGGTGTTTTGATCAAATTCTCTTGTGATATAATATGTATTTGTTGGAATTGACAAAATTTTAAGTTACATTTATGCATCTATTGTTTACATCTTTTATTGACTTTTTTGTTCATTTGTGTAATGAAAAACCAAGTTTTCATTTAAAAAAAAAATGAAAAGAATACACATCAACAATACATAAAGTAATCACCACCACAACAGCTGTACAAAGAAATAAAAATTAAGAAAAAGGGGCTCCAAATGTTGAGTATAAGAGACTTGCAAAACTTTTTTGTTTAGTATGCCATCCAATGATTCCTGCTTCCAGACGCATGACCTATATTTGGAGGGGGCATATTATTTATTATGCAAACTGATGAAACTAATTGAAGTTTATTGAGTTTCTTAATTTGCTTAGGGAAATCTGGAGGTGCTGAATATAAGCATATTAAATTGTTGATGAACAAGATCTTCTTGTTTTATATAACCTTTTAGATTGACACTAATACACAAAGCACGCTGGTTATAGAACATAATTGGCTAGGCTACTGTGATAGGTTCCATCGATATTTGGGCTTTTGTTACACCTATGCTATGCATAAACCAACCTGTTTAACTTTCTCCTCATATTTATTTCTGTAGGCTGACAGTTAGAAAACTACTAAATGATATCATGTTTGTGGCAGACTCTTTCATTTTCTCACTGGTTCTACAATGTTCTCAACTTTGGGAGATGGAACCATAGTGAAAGGTCTTTCTGGAGTTCCTGACGAAGGTCCTGTGCTGTTAGTCGGTTATCACAATTTATTAGGACTTGAGCTTTCACCTTTAGTTAAAGAATTCATGAGAGAGAAGAATATTGTGGTTCGTGGAATAGCACATCCAGAGTTGTTCTTGGGAAATCTAGAGTCTGAATATCCTGAAATTTCATTGATTGACTGGGTGAAAGTATTTGGTGCAGTCCCTGTGACTGGTAGCAATCTTTACAAACTGTTATCAGAAAACTCACACGTTCTCCTCTATCCTGGGGGTGCACGCGAGGCTCTTCACCGGAAGGTAATTTAAATTCCTAACATCCACCACCACAAAAGAATTTGCAGTTTAATAGACAGCGAGAACTGATACTGAGAGAGAGAGTGCTTACACTCAAAGTTTTTCATGTACTTGAGTTTTTGCATCGTCCATATGTTGAGTTTTCCATCACGCTTTATAATTTTATCTCTAAGAGAGAATTACATGGTACAGAGAGGTCATGGTGGCATCTTCGTTGAGTTTAAATGACATATTTTGTAACTTTGTTATATAATGGTTGGGATTAAGGTTTCCTATGTTCATTCATTTTCCTTTCTTAAAAAATTTGACAGGGTGAAGAGTATAAGTTGTTCTGGCCAGATCAACAGGAATTTGTGAGGATGGCTGCTCGTTTCGGGGCTACAATTGTACCGTTTGGTGCTGTCGGAGAAGATGATCTAGCACAAGTAAGTTGGGTTCCCTATGCTTTGATTTTATAGCCTGAGGAGTTCTAAATGGATCCTGATCCTGAGATTAGAAGGAAGAAATTAACATTGAAATCCGTAATATTTACCTGCTAATATTCCTAACAAGTTTTTCCTAAATTTGTGAGTTGAGGAGTTAGGAAAACTGGATTTAACAAACCCAATAACTTGAGTTTGTAAAACTGTTAACGGACCACAGTTAGATTATTCAAGCCCAACCCCCTCACCTCTATACAAAGAGCCAAACGAGTCCTCATAGGTTGGGGCTGAAAACCTATGAGGCACCTTTCAGAGACGTGCATATTTTTCGTGTCTGATTCTTACCGGTAGCAGGGCAATACAGTGGTATTGGAGTTGTCTTGAAAAAATGAAGGAAGAATTTGAAGTTTCATGGAAACTAGGAATTTTAGAGGAACACAATTCATTATTCTGGTTGATTTGAGCAAATGGGTGTGCTGAAAGCTTGAAACTTGTTTCGTTAGACAAAAAATGGTGCAAATTTGTCTATATTATCATGCTTGAAAAGAAATGTTAGCATTGTCACTGCCTTTCTGGTTATCATCGTCCTCGTCTTTTTTCGTATTTGCAGATGATTTTAGATTATAATGACCTGATTAAAATTCCCATGCTTAATGACCACATCAGAGAGACAACTCAAAATTCTGCAAAAGTGAGGTAACTGTTCTTCGACATCATGGTGTATGGTTTGCTTTGTTCTTTTTGCATGGTTATGTCTGTCCATCTCTTTGTACATTTCATTCTATCAATGAAATTTCCATTTTCTTTAAAAAGAATATATTTTTCGACTTTTCCTTACAGCTTATTCTCTCATTCCTTTATGAAAAAATGGAATTACGAATGCAAATCGAGGTTTGTTTTTCCTTCAAGATGTTCTCCATCAATAGAGTGTACTCTGATTTCAGGGATACAGATAGTGGAGAGGTTGGTAATCAAGATCTTTTCTTCCCATTGCTCTTGCCCAAGATACCCGGTCGGTTATACTACCTGTTTGGCAAGCCAATAGTAACAAAGGGGAGAGAGGAAATCCTGAAGGACAAGAAAAAGGCAAACCAATTGTATAATGAGGTTAAATTTGAAGTTGAACGTAGTTTAGAATACTTGATTAAGAAGCGGAAGGAGGATCCGTATCGAAGTTTTATTGACAGGACGGTGTATAAAGCTGTTTATGCCTCTCAACATGAAGTTCCTACATTTGAGCCTTGAGAATTGATTCTTTTAAGGTGATGCTTGGTCTTGGTAACAAGTTACTCCCTTCCTTTCTATGAAGTGAGAACCTTTTCACTAAAATCTATTTTTTAGATGTGTTTACATCTATGTTATTTTGATGTTTCAGTTGGTACAACTAGTTCTGTTCAACATTGAACCTTTGGAGGTTATACTCTTAACAGTTCCGTCCTCGATACGCCAAGTTGTGTTCTGGAAGGAAGACCATAACTGGTATGAACTATGAGCTTGAATTTGGTTTTGATCTCCCATCCCAGCTTGAGGAAGATGCCTATTACTAAAATAGAAATACAAAGAAAATTCAAAATCTGAATAAACCACAGAAGAAAAAGTTACCTTGTAAATTTTTACCTTATTTGATTACCTTTTTCTTTCTCTTCTTTGAATAGATTAAATGCTGTTGGGAAGCTTTACTGTTTTCTGGATTTGAATATTTAGACTTGGATAATAAGTTAAATAAAGATTGATATTGCCATATTGGCCTTGTGATATCAGAAGCTCTTTGAGGTGCTAACTAGCAACTTAGATTTGTTAACTTCAACGTACTCATCCTTAAAACTTTCTATATTATTGTTAAAAATTGAATCATAAGCATTTGAATCTTGTTACGACGCGACGCGGCAAAATCACACGGTTGGAACTGAATCTAATGAAAAAAAGGTAATAAGTTGAGTGATTTGTCTAATTTTCTTGGGATTGTAGTTTAATCCGTTAGACCACCACCTTTATATTTGACAGTTTGAAGTGAAATTTATTTGATTACCACAAAACGACCTATTCAAGAAGCTCAACACCTGAACTATTAATAACGATTGGGAATGAAATGATATATATTACAATAGTGTAAAGACGTGACCTATTTTGATGTTATATTAAATTATCACTAAATCCAAAAATTTAAGTTATATTAAAACTTTTAATATATATTCTTAAGACTCTGCATCATGTGTAGGTTGAAGTATTAATTTGATTTATGATGCTCAACATGTGGATTGTTAATATTAATCGAATGGAAATTATATGGCAAGAGTCGAAATACGAGACATCTACCCTTATACTATGTCAAGTTACCACTGAACCTAAATCTTAAACTAATAGTTTAAAGATATATTTAATCTCTTAATACTTCATCTAAAATGCGAGCTGAAATATTAATTTGATTCACAGTACTCAACTGGTGAAACATTAATATTAATTGAAAAAAATAACATCAATAATTTGATTCAAGCATAGGCTCAGATGTTAATTTGATTCAAGTTCAAAATGTGAACTATTGATATCAATTAGGAGGAAAATGACATTGCAAGAATTTGAACGGAAAGATTTCAGGTGAAAATATCACCAAAGCATAGAATCTTAAATTGATAGATTAGAGATATCTACTGCTTTTTATATATTCTTAACAGAATGAGATGCAAGTTTTCAGTCCACGATGCACCCAAAAGATTAGGATGTATTATGGATTTTCTTTATTTCAACTAAGCAAGTTAATTTTATTCTTTACTTAGTGCAGGTTATCAATGATCAGAAGAAACTCAAATTATCACAGAATGTGATTCCTTATCCTTTTTCTTAGTGGGAGGAATTGATCCTCAAAATGATATGGTATGGTGGTGTAATTTCACAGAGGATTATAATGAATAGTTTTCAGAGTAAGTTTTCCATGAAAAAAGTATCAGAAAGAAATCTGTCAACTGGAAAAACAGCTTTTACCACTGTCTAGGGATGATCAGTTTACCGCAACTCGTCGACCTTGTTCGAGATTCATTTCTATGTTCCATCCGAACAATGAGAAAAAACACGGTTTTACTGAACTTGTTAGATAGAAAATAGCTAAAAACATCAATAGTTTTGTATTTGATTGCAAACTCTAAATGAATCTGACTTTGTTCGGAGATTTTGTTCGTAGTTTGAGAAGACTCTTGCTTGTTTTTATCAAGAATACCATAAGTAAGTATTATTTAGACAACTAACCTATTCAATATTTCACAATAGTAAGATATAGCGAGCATGGTTTTACTTTGAGATTCTTCCTAAAAGATCTCGTACTAATAGAAATGTTGCTCACGCTCTTAAAAGGATCTTTCTTACTTGTAAACAATGTAAGACTATTTCACATCTCTTTGTTGGTTGTAGTTCACATGGATTCCCTTAAATATTAATCAAGTGCTTTCACATCCAAATAAGTTCTTGCTTAAATTGCTGGCTTAGCTTCCTAGATAAAGTAGAATTAGATTCCTTTCGTTTAATTTGTTGTGTCAACTCAAGAAATTGAAGGGAATTTTGGGCCACGCCGAAGGAGGCCGCGAGCTATTCAGTTTGATGCCGACTATGAGACTAGCTAGATTGGATTGGCTAGTCAGAAAGTGTGTCTATATAAACCCTGTAGAAGTAGGAGAAAAACCACAAGCTTTTTGAGGCATAGAAAGTAGATCACACTCATCTATGGCTGATTTTAGATATGGTTTCTTTATTCGCCCCGAAAACAAGAAGCTAGGATTGCATCCCGACGAAAAGAGCAAAACAAGCCATGTATCTGATCACAAATGTAAGCCTGCTATTGTTGATGCAGAAGGAAAGAAACAACCTATCACTGTTTTGCCCGACGAGACGTATGTTATAAAAAAAGATACATATGTTGAAGAATTTTACTCGAGCTTAGGGGAGGAATCACAATATAGTTATACCATGGAGTATGAACCAGTGACATATTATGGACGTCGCCATGATAAAGCTAGGAACCAACATCCAAGCCTTGCTCGTGACCGCCCAACAGAAGTCGATAAATTCATAACCGACGTCCAAATGGAAGCAAGCAAGCCAATGAGTCCAACATATAGGCGTCAAATCAGTAATACAAGAGTGGAAGATGATATCATTAACGGTTGCCATGATGACTACAACAAGAAAATAGCAAATAAGCCAAGTGGATATGCTAAGCAACATGCAAAACATCGCAATGGCTATAATAGCAATAATGATGAGTACGATGACAGTGACGACGAACCACGTACGATGACCAGCCATACATTTGGGCTTGCACCACTTGGTTGGGCGAGACCGAGCGACGAACTGCCAGCACGTGGCTTGAGCTTAAGTGGACCAATGAATGATATTGGAAAAGCCATAGAATGCTTGAAAGAAGCTGCAAATCTTCAGTCTGGCAAAAGTGCCTTGGATCATAGAAAGAAAGATGGCTACACAAAAACTATTGATAGCAATGAAGCAGCAAGGCAATATGGTAAATTGATCCCTCTTCCCCCAGTGCAAGGTGCCCATGTAGCAACCATTGACTCTAAAGAGGCTGCAAGGAAGTACAAAGGCACAAAAGTGTGAAGCCTGGGAAAGTTATTAAGCTTCGAACTTCGATTTTTAGGGGGGCGAGTAATGTTTTGACCAGTTGTATTATATTGAAGTTGGTGTCACAAGTGTTATCTTACTTTTGTTTTCTATAACGTGTGGTATCGTCAATGCATGAGGGTGAAATAAATGTGTACTCTTTGTAATTTACACAATTTTATAGATAAAATAAAGATGGATTGTATCATGATGTGAAGCTGAGATATATTTGTTATCGTTGTTTTGATAGGGATGAAAGAAAAAGTTAAAAAATCGATTATACCTACTAATCGACCAAATTGATAGTTTGAGGTTGATTTTCTTTGATGCAAAATATTGCTCAAGTTGAGAGATTCTTATCTAATAATACTTAAGTACTTATCAGTTAGCACATGTCTTCTGCTAATCACTCTTGAATTTTTAAGTGTAGAAGAGAAAAGTGTAAAAATATGTATTTGTTCTACCTTTTAAAATTCGAGAACTGTCAAATTTTTATTAGTGGTCCCATGAAAAGGTGGATATTATTTTTTTTTTTCTACTCAATTACCTCTTCCCTAACTCTCTATTCCCGGTGGACCCCACGGATTGACAAACCAAAAGGTTAAAATGGTAGTAAATCACAATTGTTTGGTTAGTCCATTTCTTTGTACAATAATAATAACAATTGTTGGACAACTCTACCCAACTTCCACCCTTTGTTTATGCAATAATTTTTTTTCCTTTTTTTTTAACTTTTACCTTTTTCCCCGACTCTTCTTGTGATAAGGCTATGGGAGAATTCTCCACATCTTATTCATTATGTTATAAATATAGAAGTGAAAATTTGAACTTACAACTCTTTAGAAAAAGTAGAGATATTGTACCCAATAAATTACAACATGATTTATACTTTAAATTGGGTTGTTTTATAAAGGATAAATACAATTTTTTTACTTAGATATAGTTGTGGTAAAATTGGGTTGTTTTATAAAGGATAAATATAATTTTTTGAGTTCGTACTAATATTTGAATATCATTTTAAAAATTTCAATTCTATCACAAACTTCTAATATATGGGAAAAGAAAAATCTACAATGCCCACTATCTTTCTTATCAATTAATATGTCACATGTGACAGAAAAACATTTAAAATATAAAAACTATTCTTTTTTTTCAAACGAAAAAAATTAAATTGAATCATTTGTAAATAGGAGGGACAAAATGATAATTTAATCTTTTATATATACATATATATAAATAATAACTAGTGTTACTAACCTCAGGTCCTCAACAATGAGTTGGGGCTCGAAAATTAGACCCTTTTTCTCTAAATTTTTTGCAAATACAATCAATACTATATGCTATATAAGTTTGTACATAAGTTAATATTTACATCGACATAATAGACTAAATTAAAAAATATTAAAACATAAGATACTAACTTAACCTAAAAAATAAAATCCGAGAACAACATGTAAAACCCTAGCGGAGCAATTACCGCGTGCCCAAAACCATTTTAAAGAATATGCACTCGCTTCACATATTTGCCGCGTATGGACGTCAATAGCCCCACTATTTTTCCTAAATACCGAAAGTACCCCTCGACGACAAGTTTCAGCCAGTAAAAACCTTTTCTAAGCCGCTCCAAAACACCGCTATATAAATTTGTATGCAACGTTTCTCCCAAACCCTTCTTGGTACTAAACCCTAGTTCTCTCTCCCTCCCCTCGGCCTCTCTCTCTCTCCTCCTCCTTCTCTCTCCTGACGCAGAACTCTGTGAAGGTAACGCTAACCTCTCTCTCATTCTCTGTCTTTATTGTCATGGCCTCTACCTTTGTAGTTTCGTTAATGGTTTATGTTTGATTGGTTGCCGTAGCTGTGAAGTTTGGTGGGTTGCTTCTTCAGTGACTGTGGTGGCTGTAGTTTTGTAGTTCCGCAGAACTTTAAGAGTCTCAAAATTGAATAATGATCTCTATCGTAAATTAAAAAGAAACTACAGTAAGGGTATATTGTGGAAGGAACTGAGGTTTTGTTATGGTTTTCAGTTTTGGGTATTTTTTAAGTGAATGATTTTGCTAGCGTTAATTGGGAATGGTTTTTCATTTCTCAGGTGTATTGGGGAGGTCGTCAATATGCTTGTGTTGTTCGAGACGTCGGCGGGCTTTGCCCTGTTTAAAGTTTTGGATGAAGGGAAGCTCTCCAAAGTTGAGGTACATGGTTTTTTAATATTATGCTGTTTGTGACTTGTGAGTTTGTTTCATCTGGAGGTGGATGTATAAAAATAGCTATTCTTTGTGGTTTACTGCTGGCGGTCTATATGATGATTCATGATTGCCTAATTAATTTTCATAAGTATGAATGTGAATTAAGTAAAGAATGCACCTTCCGCTTGATTAATGATCTCGAGGAAATACATATATTTATTATTTTCCTCATATGTATCTGGATCTTAATTTTCAAACTACTTTGAATGTAGGATTTGTGGAAGGATTTTTCCAATGCTGAATCTGCTAGACAGGTAATATATCTTTCTCTTTGGACATGCCTGCACCTGCAACCATGTTAGAGGTTTTCTCTGACATGGGCTTTCTCCATTCAAGAAATGCAGTGTATTAGGACATATGTAACATGTCAATAAACTTTTCTGTTAATATTGCTCTGTTTGCTTGCTGCACCTTATTTTTTGGGTGGACCTAAACGTTTTTAATTAAATTATATCAGGTGGTGAAGCTGAAAGCTTTTTCCAAGTTTGACAACATGTCAGAAGCTTTGGAAGCAACCACATTGTTGATTGATAGCAAACCTAGCAAAGGATTGCGTAAATTTTTACGAGCTAATTGTGATGGTGAAACCTTGGGTGTTGCTGATTCTAAGCTTGGAAATATAATCAAGGAGAAGCTGGTCAGCTGCTGTTTCAACAAATTATTTTTTAGTTGTTCACTTGTGATAGTTATTTAATCTCATTGAGCATCATGTACTCTTGTCACGCAGCAAATAGATTGTGTTCACAACAATTCTGTTATGGAGTTGATCAGAGGATTAAGAAATCAATTGAACGAACTCATATCAGGTCTAGCCGTTCAAGATTTGGCCCCAATGAGTTTGGGATTATCTCACAGTTTATCTAGGTATAAACTGAAGTTCAGTGCTGATAAGGTTTGTTCTTATTCATATTTAGCATTGATGGCTGCTAGATTGTTGATGTGCAATTTACAATAAAATGCCATAATTTAAGTTTTAATCATATTATTAGGTGGATACGATGATCATCCAAGCTATTGGATTGCTTGATGATCTTGACAAGGAGTTAAATACTTATGCAATGCGAGTTAGGGAGTGGTATGGTTGGCATTTTCCAGAGCTTGCTAAAATTATTCAGGATAATATTCAGTATGCGAAGACAGTGAAGCTTATGGGTAACCGTGATAATGCGGCAAAGCTTGATTTCTCTGAGGTATGTATCATTTTCTTTTGGAATTCTTTAAAAATAACTAATATTCACCACATTAATATGATCTTCTTTGTTCATGTCTGATGTCACCTTTCTGCCTATTACATGTCATTAATAAATGGCTACCTCTTTTTAAAACTCAAACAAGTCATGAACTAGCTAATTATATTACTCTTTGGCCAACTTTGTTGGATGAAGTGTGTTTGTGGCTTAAAAATGAAGTTGATATTATTCAATGAAGCAATATTACTTGTGCTTCATCATTATAGAAAGCCTTTAGATTTCCTCATTTCCAAATGTTAATTCTTATTCATTATTATTGTATTCTAGATATTGGCAGAGGAGATTGAGACCGAGTTGAAGGAGGCATCTATGATATCAATGGGAACCGAAGTTAGTGATATTGATTTGATAAATATCCGAGAACTTTGTGACCAGGTGCTTTCTCTTTCTGAGTACAGAGCCCAACTATATGATTATCTAAAAAGCAGGATGAACACTATTGCTCCCAATTTGACTGCACTCGTTGGAGAGCTCGTTGGTGCTCGCCTAATTGCCCATGGTGGCAGTTTACTAAATCTTGCTAAGCAGCCTGGAAGCACGGTGCAAATACTTGGAGCTGAGAAGGCTCTGTTCAGAGCTCTGAAAACAAAGCATGCAACTCCCAAGTATGGTCTTATCTATCATGCATCCCTAATTGGTCAGGCAGCTCCAAAGCTCAAAGGAAAGATCTCTCGGTCCCTTGCTGCTAAAACTGCATTGGCCATTAGGTGTGATGCTCTGGGTGATGGCCAAGATAACTCTATGGGACTTGAAAATCGTGCCAAGGTATATTTCTTGCTACCTTCTTTACTTAATGTTGTCTTCTAAGATCTACGGAACAGAGCCTGAAAAATATTATTTACTCAGCTGGAAGCAAGGTTAAGAAATCTCGAGGGCAGAGAGTTGGGACGTGTTGCTGGGTCAGCTAAAGGCAAACCCCAAATAGAGGCCTATGACAAGGACAGAAAGAAGAGTTCCGGGGCTTTGATAACTGCCGCCAAGGTTTGATTTCCATTTCAAAATCTATACCCACCTACCTACTTGTTTATTGATGGCTGACTCTTCTGCTTTTTATGCAGACATATAATCCCGCAGATGATTCGATTCTTGGTAAAGTTGTGAAGTCTAATGAGGAGGGAGCATTGGTTCCAAAGACTGGTGGAAATTTGGAAGCGGAGGCTCCTGTAAATGATCAGAAAAAGGAAAAGAAGGAAAAGAAGAAAAAGAAGAGGGCAGATGAAGAGGAAACAGTTACGGAAGATGCCGGGAAGGACGAGAAGAAGAAGAAAAAGAAGAAACGAACTGAAGAAGCTGCGGAAATACAGGATGTTGGTGAGATCTCACCGGAGAAGGAGAAGAAGAAGAAAAAGAAGAGAAAGCATGCTGAAGACGAAGAAGAGGAAACCGAGCAGCCAAGCAAAAAGAAAGAAAAGAAGAAGAAGAAGAAAAGTGAAGATTGAGTAATGAAGGGGAACCATTTTTGTTAGCATAATAGGGGCTGTAAAATTTGGCTGTTGGTAGTGCTTTATTATTGTTATCATCCCTGCACTTTTCAAGTTATATCTAAATCTCTGATGTATTCTCCAATTTCTTACAGATTCTGATTTCATGGAGAAACTCTCTCGTTGAACAGCTTGCATTATTACTCTTCCGCAAAGGGAATATGGTATTTGTGATTGAAATGTTGTTAGGCTATGTAGTGTGGTCTCTTGAATTTTGGGGTGCAAGTAGACCTTTCTTTTTCCCTTTTTTGGACTCACTGTGGAAATATGAACATTTCCCCAACCAAGATTATTGCTTTATTAAATTTGTTTAATCTTTTTTCAGGTTGAAGAACGAATGGTATAGTAGTTTCATCCAGCAAAAATTAATTTCTGCTTCATGGTATAATTCTAATTGTTAATTGTTATTATACTTTTGGGCATGGTAAATTGTTTTCCCTTAGGAGCCGACTGTAGTTACTCCCAAACCCGGTAACCAGCAGTCGACCAAGGTTAAATACTCGGTTTTCTGTACAGTTTGTGACCATAACTGATGACGACTGATGTGCATATGGTTAATGTGAATTAATATTAATGATAGAAATGCAGTTTTTCTTTTATTTATTTATAATGAAATGACTAAAGTTAAGTATTTGAGAAATGAGAAATTAAAGTAGAATATTTCAGGGTTAAAGTTTAAAAATCAAACATTGAACTTATTATTAGTAGAATTGCATTTTACAAGCATGATGACAGTCAGGGTAATTGATTTTTTATTAATGAGATGAAGACTATTAATCTAACAACTTAAAAAATTAGAATTACATAATTAATTAGACTAGCGTGATGTATTTAATTGATATTTAATGTCAATATTTTACTTTGATAATTGTTCAAAATTATAAAGTGATGTTACTATTTATACAATTATATTAATGGTTGTATCACTATCTAATTTGGTTATTTATTTTTAAAATTTTCCATTTCATCAACATGCAAGATAGACTATCGAATGGCAGACGTATTTTTATAATATTTAAATTAAAAATGTTATAAATTTTCTGATAATTAATTCTTAGATGGTGAATTCAACTTTGTGGACGGAGGCAATCAACGAATCTATGAGAGTGAAATTTAATCCGTGGATTTCATTTCTAGATTAAGTTATTATATAAAAACCAACGGTCCAACACAAATTATTTTGTAAAAAAAAAAAAGAAAAGAAAAAAAAACACATACAGATTATCTAGTTTTTTCTCAAGGGAAATACAGATTATAATTTTAACCAGTTCCTTTCTAAATGTAAAAATTCAAAGAATCTTGCAGTAGCAGTAGCAGTGGTATTATACATTCTGTTCATTTTTTCCCCAACACTTGGATTCTGTTCATTCACCAACGACCTCGTATTTCACCGAAGAGAGATTCGAGAGAGAGAGACGGTTGGCTTTGACTCGTTGAGAACTCGGAAGATCTCTGCTTCTACTGCTCATTCGCTTTCATGAGCTTCTTCTCAGTGTATGACTGTAGCTGTGACTTTGAGAAGCGAAAAGACTGAAGCATTCCCCACCTGAATCGTTACAGCTCGAAAAAGGTATCTCCCCCTCTGACCCATGAACCAATTTAATATAATTTTTGTTGTGGGGTTCGATTCGATTACGGCCAGCTTTCTCTCTCCCTAAAAAGCTTACTGGGTATACTTTTCTTCGCCGAGTTACTGCTCTATCAGTTCGTTGGCAGCTTTTTGATTGTTTCAGTCGCAATCAATTGAAAATTTCTGGGTTTACATTTATTCATTGGGAAATTTAACGTAGTCGTTGATTTCTGTAGCTTTCGTGTTTGTAATTTTGTTGGTTTTGTAGAGATCAACTTTAGAAGTGGTTTAATTGTTTGCCATGGAGGGCAGCAATGGGGCTTAATTTTGAGAAATGGGATGTATAATTAGCCGAGAGGTAGCTTCTAGAAACTCACCAGATTCCGAGGATAAGAAGGAGAAGAGTTCTGAATGTGGTGACGATTTGGAGAGGAAGGAAGCTGGTGTGGCTGACGCTGTTGATGTCACTCAGAAGGAAGGGCATGGCCATGGGGCCCAGACTTTGACAAAAGAGCAGAGAAGAAAGTCGAAACCCAACCCCGGACCGAGAAATTTGCCAAAGCAATCACAGGGGGAGCAGGTGGCGGCTGGATGGCCTTCTTGGCTCACAGCAGTTTGTGGGGAGGCACTCAATGGTTGGGTTCCGAGGAAGGCTGATACATTTGAGAAGATTGATAAGGTGGGTTGTTTCTCTTTGAGAATCATTTTACTGTTTAATTTCTTTTTTATATGATTATGGTGTTATGATTGTTTTCCTTTTAAACCGAGTTGGCCCAGTAGTTATTGGAGCTAGTGAAAAGGTAAAAAAACTTAGAGAGAATGAATTCAAACTCCATGATGACTACCTGCCGAAAATATTGAATGGTCAGGTGGAGGTTGGAGACACTCACACATATGAAAAAAATGTTTTTCTTTTGTGATCTAACCTGATATTTATTTTGTAATTATTTGCTGCTATTAAGTCTACTTGTGTTGTATATGGTAATGTACTAATGATGGACTTTGAAATTTCTGGATTTCGGATTCCTATTGTCCTCCAAGTTTATCCTCCGAGTTGAAAAAAAGTAATTTACTAATGATGATTTGGAGGTACAATTCTCCGAGATGGTAATCAATTTACGAGACTGCTCCTTTTGTTCTATGGAGCTACTCTCTCTTATGAAAAATAATTTCCATCTTTTTATGCACAGATTGGACAAGGGACATATAGTAATGTGTACAAAGCGAAAGATATATTGACAGGTAAAGTTGTTGCGCTGAAGAAGGTTCGTTTTGACAATTTAGAGCCAGAAAGTGTAAGATTTATGGCTAGAGAGATTCTCATTTTGCGACGCTTAGATCATCCTAATGTTGTAAAGTTAGAGGGTTTGGTTACATCAAGAATGTCATGTAGTTTGTACCTTGTGTTTGAGTACATGGAGCATGATTTAGCTGGACTTGCTGCAAATCCATCCATTAAGTTTACAGAGCCGCAGGTTAGTCCATGTTTTCATTTAATTTTCAATAGTGATGCCAATATTGATCTTTATTGAGAGTGTTTCACATTGTAGGTTAAATGTTTCATGCAACAACTGCTATCGGGACTCGAGCACTGTCACAGCCATTGGGTGCTTCATCGCGATATTAAGGGTTCAAATCTTCTTATTGATGGGGGAGGGATGCTTAAGATTGCTGACTTTGGATTAGCTAGTTTCTTTGATCCAAAACATAAGCACCCATTGACTAATCGTGTTGTTACCTTATGGTATCGGTCTCCCGAGCTTCTACTCGGTACAACTCATTATGGCGTAGGTGTCGACCTCTGGAGTGCAGGTTGTATTTTAGCAGAGTTATTAGCTGGGAGGCCCATAATGCCTGGCCGTACAGAGGTGATTATTTGGTTTCTCACTCTACCACATTCTAGTTTTTAAAGTTACCTTTCAACTAGATCTGATTGGCTTTATTATGTTAAGGGCCATGGGCAGGTTTTCAAAAGAGTGCCACATCTTAATCATTGTGAAAGCAGTGTTTTTATTTTTTGTTATTAGAGGAAATTGTACATAGCTATCCGTGAAGAATCCAACCTTGGCACAATATGTAGTGGTGATGTGAGTAGAGCATGAGAGTAAGGGAACCCAAAAGCTTAAGCTAATGAATTACGGTAAATTTAATCTTTTATAAATACCTTAACCGTGTTTTTTCATCCCCTTTATGGAAGTTGGTTTCTATTTGAAAAAAACTACATGAATGGTCAACAAAACATTTCCGGGTAGATAGGCATTTACTTATTGTCTTGTATCTTTAGGATTGCAATTCTTCTTTCTTTAGGATTAGTATAAGCTGCTCGTGTACTAAAAAAAATAATAATAAAAGCATAAGCTGCTCGAAATATAACCATGCATGCTTCCCGTTTATCTCGTGTAGATAATATATAATTTTGATATATGATTTACTCATGGAATTGACATTCTCTTCAATTTACATCTTAGTGGAGATTAGTGCATCTGATGTCTTTACTACTACCCTAGGTTGAACAACTCCATAAGATATTCAAGCTGTGTGGCTCACCTTCAGATGAATATTTAAAGAGGGCAAAGTTGCCAAATGCAGCCTTATTTAGACCCCGAGAACCTTACAGGAAATGCATAAAAGAGACTTTTAAAGATTTCCCACCATCATCATTTCCTCTTATGGAAACACTTCTTGCAATCGATCCCGCTGAGAGAATGACTGCTGCTGATGCGCTGAAGAGCGAGGTGAAGTCAAAGTTTGTCTTATTTATTTGGTTTTAAGGATTGTATCATATTTGCACGACATCGTATCTCCTTCCTTCACATTTCGACCTCGGTCTTCTGACTTGCTCATCTGGCTTTGTTGCTTGTTTTGATAATGGCAGCATATTCTAATTGTTGATGCTTTTATTTCACATTCTTTTGCAGTTTTTCACCACAGAACCTTTTGCTTGTGAACCTTCTAGCCTCCCCAAATATCCACCTAGTAAGGAGATCGATGCTAAACGACGAGATGAAGAGGCACGGAGGTCTGTAATCTGGATGCTTTTGACTTGAGTATAATCTTTCTCAGATTTCTGGTTGTTTATGGTAGTTCATTAAGCCTTTATGCTTGTTAGTTGGGTGTTGGAATCGTGAGATTTGATTATTGAGGCCTGTTTGATAACAATTTCATTTTTAGTTTTTAGTAAATTATGATTGTTTTTTCTCAATTTCTTTGGTATGTTTTTCACCTTTCTTTTAACATATTTGAATTTTTAGCCAAATTTAGAATAAATAACTAAGTTCTTTTTGGAACTACTTTTTTTTTATTTAAAGTTGATAACAAAAGAATGAATACAAAAGTGGGAGTAGTTTTTATAAGCTTAATTGTCAACGACAGAAAAATAAAGACAAAATGATTTTCAAACGGGGCCTTAGAGACTATTTGTGTCTTACTCCATTTTCTGATTCTTGTTTTTCATTTTTATTTGTTAACATTTCCTATTTCTAATCTCTTTCTTGTGAAATGTTTTCAAAATTGTCTTTAAATGCTAGAAAAGATAATTTTTTTTATTTCTAAATTTTCAAAATGTTAGTATTCTTATTACTTTTGGCACAAAAATTTCATGTACATTTTTTACATACTAATTTCCAATCAAACAAGAACCCCAAAGTATAACCAAATGCATGTTTATATATTCTTTTTGTAGAAAATAGAGAACAAATAAGAAGAAACACCTATCAAACACTTCTTTCTTTTTGTTTAAAAATAACAAGAGACATGAAAGAAGAACATTATTCCAGTAATTAAAAGGGCACTCCTCCCATTTCTGGTTTGTAAATCTTCTAATAAATGGGAGTAATGGACAATGGCAACGAAGCAACATGCTTCCTGTCCCTAAACAGTGATTTAAACATGTGGGTCTGTTCATTGTATGCTTTTGTATGAAACTTGTGCCCATTGATTTAAGAATCAATTCAAATGGTTTTACAGACAAAGAGCAGCTAGTAAATTGCAGAATGATCGGGTAAAGAAGACACGCACACGTAATCGTGCTGGTAGGGCCATTCCTGTTCAAGGAGCCAACGCAGAACTCCAGTCAAATATCGACGTATGTGTATTCAAATTTGATCTATTTGGCATGTATGATGTATGTTCTGCCTTCATTGGAAAATTGATCTATTTGGTATGTTCGAGATTCTGAGGAATTAAATAGTAAACTTGTAATTCTGGCTTTAGTTCATTTTGGTCCCTGTACTTTTTAAAACGTCTATTTTGGTCCATGTGCTTTCAAAACATCTATTTTGGTCTCCGTACTTTTAAATTTTATTCATTTTAGTTCAAGTACTTTCAAATCATCCATTTGGTCTCTGTACTTTTAAAAAATAACCGGTTGTGTCCCTTTTTTTTTATCACAATTTTATTGTAACATGAAATGTAGTGATAAAATTGTATTAAATAGTTTCATTGAGTATAAAGTTCATGTTAAAATTTTGTAACTGTGGACCAAAATGGTCATTTTAAAAAATACAAGGACCAAACGGGAGGTTTTGTTAGGGACTAAAATGAATAAAAGTTGAAAGTATTATAACCAAAATGAATGAAAGCCAAAAGTGCAGCACCAAAATAGTATTTAAACCATTTTTTGCAACTTCTTGGCATTCCCTTTCCGAAAACTTTAGTAATGATACCCACTTTTTTATCAATGCTAATTGGATAGCTTTTTCTGCGAACTCCTCTGGCCCAGGTTCTCTAGCCCCTTTTTGTATCTTTGCATCTTGATGAAAAGGTTTATTGTTTCCAAAGGAATTTGTCAAGTCTTTTGACATGCTTGTTCTTCTTCTGAAACAGAGACGACGTCTAATTACTCACGCCAATGCAAAGAGCAAGAGCGAAAAGTTCCCTCCTCCACATCAGGATGGAGCACTCGGATTCACATTGGGATATTCACGTCACATTGATCCTGCTGTTGTTCCTTCTGATGTCCCATTTAGTTCCACGTCGTTCGGTTATCCAACCGATTTGGACCGAGCCTGGTCCGGTCCATTGGTTGAGTCCTCTGACCTTGGTGCTCAAAGGCAGAAGCATTTGGGAGGTGATGCAAGAGAACAACAATCAACAATTAGCCAATCCTCAATTAAAGGAAAAAAGATGGCATGAACTTAAGTATCATGTAAGCTCAGAATCGTGCAGCAGAACCAGTCGATTGCCTGTATACTTAGCATTGCGATTTCCTGAGAAACCTTGCGACAAATCCCGAGCACATAGATCACGCCTGATCTCTTTCTTGCAGCAAGAACATAGCTGGTTTTGGTCTGCAATGTCAATGGGACATGCTAATGCCTGTAGAGCCCCTGCGATTTCTTTCCTCCATCTGAAAATCCAAGCCCATCCTATTCGTGCTCGCTTGTTGTTCGTTTGCAGAGTGGTGTTTTTACGCGTTAAGTACACCAATAATACCAAAAGCTTCTTGGCCATGGTGCTGCCATTCTTTTCCCAACATAAAGTCTATCTTCTTTTGCATAAGGTGTGCCAGAACCAACCATCTTTGTGAAAGTGTATTCTCTGATTACTGCCACTTTGTTAGATAATCTACGACCGATCACTTTCTTGAGAAGTTCCTTCTGAAAGTTCTGTTATAAAATTACTGCTTCATAATAAAGAATCTTTGATAGAGTGATCATTTTGTTTTCAAATTTATATGAGATGGAAGAGATGTTATCCAATTAATCTTTGCATTCTTGTCTTCAATAATGTGTTGAGCTGCAAGAACTAACTATGATGGATAATTTGCTATTATCAAATTCTATCCGTATTCTTATATAATTTAAAGGGTTCGACATCGATATCAAAGATTCAAAGGTCTATTATAGAGATGTTAATGAAATACCTAATTATTGCTATGAATATAGGGACTAATAATTTGTTTAAATAATTATAATATACTTATAGGTTATTTTCAAATATTAATGGCAAGTTCTTTTTATTTGCTTGTTTGTCAATTTTGATATTTGTGT